GAGAAAAGTGTATTTCCAGGGTTCGAATATATCCATATTTTACCTCACTACCTGGACGTAAAGACATAGGCCTATCTCAGTAAGTAAGAGTTCATTTGGAAAAATTGAAATGAATAAATATGAGCCAAGGTGCAAGATACAAAATAATAATATTAAAATAACATTTTATGGGGGTGGCAGATTTCGACTCTTATCGTGCGTGGTCCTTTCAATTCCAGAGGGGACAGCGCACTGAAAAGAATCATCCCGGATTCGTAAGCTCGGATGAATTTAATGATATATACATCGATGTATATACTCTATCTCTTTTGTTTTTTTTTTAGTTATATTTGGTCTGGTTTAATTGTGATTATTGGTATTTATCTTAATATTTATAGTCGACATCAGACTGCATTTAATACTAAAATAGCATCATTAATGACTAGGTTATTTAATTCTCGTTGGTGGCCAAATATTTTAACACCATCAATAACAACAATAAGCAAAACATTACCTGTTTGATTAAAGAATCTCATTTTTGTTTTTTTCTTATTAATATAAATACATAAATTACTAATATTCGTTTATAAAAGAAAAAAAAGAAACGATGATAAATTTTTATTTATAGATGAAAATAAATTAAGAATAACATGAAATTTAATGATGATGAATCTTCATACATCGTCATCATCAATTTATTTATTTGGTATAAATTTATCTGGTTATAATCGTTTAATACAATTTTTATTAACATCAACAGCTGTACTTATTTTTCATGTTATTCAAGGATATATGCAGGTTTTTTTTAAAAGAAATTAATAACAAAAAAAAATTATTTTTATCGAATAGGAATTAATTTTACAATTAAAATCATTACGACTTTATCCAAATTATTTTACACTCGTTTATTTTGTATGTTTTACACTTTTGGCATATATAGAACAATTATTATTTGAACGAACAATAAAAAGACGAAAGTAAGATATTTCAAATCATAGTTAATTTTTCATTGATCGAAGAAAGAATACTCTTGCCGTTCAGCTAACTTACAACAGTCTAATATTGTTCCTGCAACTATGACTAGCTGTAATTCTGCACTCAATCGCTTGAGCTCCTAATACGTACTAACTAGCTACAACAGCAGTTATCCATCTAAGGTTTGCATACATTACCTTGTGAATACGTGCCGAACAAGGTAGCTACTCATGAGAGAACCTCTGGAGGTATCAAACCATTTTTCGATTGAGACGATATTGATTTAATGAGTAACAGAAAAGTCTGGAATGATTTGGTTTTTCGGACCTTCGATCTTGAAATACTGAAAAGCGATTTAGCACCTGGAGAGATTCCCATATTAGTCATAGCGGTTTTATGAATTGAACATCATTGTTATTTCTTGTTTTTTGTATATAGAGCACCTATTCAAACTTATGCTGTAATTGCATTGTTTACTCTTGGTACAATGGGTTTAAGTAATGCAGCTGTTATGCGTCTTAATTATCCAACTCATATGATGTTTAAAAGTTGTAAATTAATTCCAGTTATGATTGGTAGTATGTTGATATTAGGTAAAGATAAATTTCAATATTGTTGATGAATAAGTGCAAAAAGTTTTGAGGTTAATTTTGTTTTTCAGTATAACGTAGCTATAACTCTTCGTGAAGATTTTATAGTTTTCTTGTTAGAAAGAACAAAATTGTATAAAAAATACTTACGAAGAGTATGACACGGACTTTCTAGTGGTATCAAAATCATAGGTTTCATAGGAAATGATTTTATTAAAATGTTGATTTTTCTTGTACAATGTCCAATGAAATTTTCCTCATAATGTCAAATAGAAAAAATCTTAATTGTGAACACTTTTTGCTAGGAAATGTTGATTTCGGCCTTGATTGATAGTTTGAATTTTTTCTTTTTTTGTCTGTTTACAATTCCCTGTCGTAGCACTACAAAATCTGGCATGAGACGGAAAATAATAACTAACTTTTTTGTTGAATAATAATAATAATTTTCTTCTAATTTCCAGAAGTATGCCGAAAAC